CGTGACAAAATTTATGAGGCCTCTGTTGAACTACACTGTGAAGCCTATAAAGAGCCTTGTATGCCCCTGCTCTTGGCCTTCGTTCTCCATCTTTCTTACTGGGTGAATCGTTTGGCATTGAAGGCCACAATTTGGTTTTTGGCTGTAATCTCCTGGACTGCAAAATAAAGATTCTTGCTGTTCAACCAGCCTGTTTCAGAGTTTCTCTCTTCATTGAGCAACAGCAGTTCCACTTCAACCAGAAGATGTGGTTATTTTCACCTCTATATTCAAAACTTTAAACTCAGTTTCAAACCGTTAACTTCAGTTTCAATTTTGTGAAATTCATTTTCCAACCAATGCATTCAATTTTAAATTATGAACATATCTGAGCAATTCTAATTCAGATTATCCCCATATTAGGTTGTGCAAAAAAACAAACATACAAATGCACAAAAATTAACCTGTTATTGAAAAACACGTGGAAATATTTAATGGTAAAATTTACAGTCACTTACATTGCACAAAGTTTCCAAAAGTTCGCAGCTTAGCTGAACTTCATGTAGTACACCAGGGAACATGGCAGTCAACCTTCTGCCTAATCCAGTTCAGAAAAAGACAATTTTGTTAAAATACTAATTGATTACTACTTAAACATTATTATACAAACATATTTTAACAAATCATGTGGATATTTACCTATTATCACAAGAAACTTGTTTCCTTCATTACCTCTCATGGATTTTTAGTCCAGTTAAAGCTCTAAATGGATAGCACCAAAATGCAATTGAGAAAAATCTTTTTAAAAATGMTTTTTATAGGCCAACTGCCTCCTTGTGACTAACCTTTGTAACTACACTAACCACTGCATTAGATTGTTATGAGTACAAAAATGTGAAAAACTGTAAAAAGAACAATACCACAAGTAACATTCTATACAATATTTGTTACAAAAACAAAAGAACAAACACTTGAAACCCTTTAAAAGTTACATTTACACCTAAGTGGGAAATATTAAACAAGTTTACCATCCAGCTACATTTAGTTTCCAAAAGCATCCATTTTGGACCCTTTTTGCTTTTGGTAAAACACATTTACACAGAACTCTTGGATGTGCAGGAGGTTCGTGACCTGAAAGTTTGATTCTTGCGTGTGGCCTTCATACTGCCTTTGTCAGTGTGCCCCAGGGCAACTGTGGCTACACTGTAGTTTACCATCATCAGAGTGTGAATGTGTGTCTGAAGGAATAATGCAAAGCGTCTTAAAATGTCCTAAAAAGGGATGTAAAAGGTCAATGAAATATTGTTGTTATTATTAGTTTGATTCTTGGACATGAACATACCTAATAGATGAATTCTTGGACATGACAGCCGGTTTGGATGTTATCAGTCCATTAAATGGACGTTATTAGCAGTTATCCGTCCCATAGAATGGCTTCAGACTGTCCCGACAGTGCCCCCTAGTGGGTTAATATATCAATGACATTGAATGTGTAAATAACCAAAACATATTTTAATTCATTTTTTGTACGGTCTCAATCCTGGCTCTCCTGCTCTGGCACTCTACCCATTGCCCTATGTTGGAATGCAACAATCTGCTACCACCGGAGTCCGGTCTACTTTATCGTAGCCCATGTCATTTTCTCTAAAATTAACCTTAGTGGCTTTATGCCTCATATTAACCAGATTGCATAAAAAACCTTAGTGGTTTTATGCTAATGACGTCCATTTAATGGATGATAACATCTGAAGCYGGTGGACATGACCTTCATACCTGATTATTTAATTTTTAGACAAGACCCTCACACCTGATTGGTCAATTCTTGMATGTGACCTTTGCATATGATTCTGTGATTCTTGGATGTGACCTTCTCACCTGATAGTTTAATTCTTGGACGTGTCTTTCATTCCTGATAGGTCGAATCTGTCCATGAATACTTCTTCGTAGAAGCCATAGTATGAGCAGAATATCATCAATAATACAGCAAAACACATTTGTAAAAGTACATATTTCTAAGAAGTACAGAGTTATTATCCATGGAATGTTTCCTACTAAATGGCTTTAGTGAAGACCCAGTGAGCTTGTGACAGGAGTATTTCTAATGATATAATCAGTGAAATGAATTCGTTCTTAACACCAGAGCTTCTTCTTACAGTCATGATGGTCATGAGCTTTTGTAGTTCCCTCGACAAAACCTTTAGCACATGACCGAGTCCGAAATTGGTCATGAGCTGCAATTCACAGCTAATACACAAATCAAATTTTACAGCTGATCTCATTATCGACTCATGTGAAGGGTTGAAACAAATGAAAGGTCAGCTGGTAAAAGTCAGTAATTTGTACGTTTGAAGAATTGTGCTACTTCTGAGTGTCCAAACGTTAGGGAGGGATTTTTCAGATTTGCTCCATCAGTCATGCTGTTTTGGACAGCAGTCCTGCATGTCCTTTCTTTATTTTTTTTAAAGTAGATAAGTTGTTATGTGGAATGGATCTCACTAAATTCTATCTAGTGGTTCCTAATTTAGAACAAATTTCTAGTGGTGTCACTGCAGGAATCTGAATTATTGGACAAAAAAATCCGTTTTCTGTTTGTTAATAATGTCAAAGTGCCCAAAGACCATCTGTTCTGGTTACAAATAAGTTCAGAATATATAGTTTTTAAAACATGTGACCCATCACATCAAACCGAGGATGAATTTTGTTCAAAATGACCTACTTGCATTTTCAGATTCTTGGCTTTAAAAMCTACATTTTGATCATTCTAATATCATGAGTGGTTATAGAGATGACATAACTTGTCTTTTTATTCACAATAATACATTCATATTTGGTCTGAATCCTATTTTTGTGTCATTTTAATGAGGAATTTTTGATGCAAATTTGAAGAGGAAACCTCAAGTAGTACAGTATTTGATATTAGGTTTTCCCAGCTGTAAGGAAACAAAACCTTGGCTAGCTCGCAGAGAAAATGTCAAAATTTTAAGACGATTTTGGTCAAAATCATTTTTTTGTTACTGCTTAAAAAGTGTTTCAAAATTTTTTTTAGGATTATATTTCAGAAAGTTCATTCAAATGATACATCTATAAAGCATTTATTATGTATATTTTGACAAAATGCAATTATTGCAAATATTTTAATCAAGACAGTAAAMCTATTTCTCCACACTACTTTGAGACTTAATCTCATTTCGATGTGATGGTTGCATATGTCCATAAATTGTAATTAGGTGTTTGAATCTGAGCATGATCCATTGTAAAGAAAATGGAAATAATGCAAAACTATATTTCCAAACAGAAATATTTCATGTGTTGTTGTTTCTGTTTAAGTTGCTTCACTACTTGTGTATTTATTTTTTCAGTATATTTGTGTCATCATTACCTCTGCCAAGGGCGAGGTAATGTTTTTGGTCACATATGTCTGTCTGTCTGTCTGTCTGTCTGTGGACAACATTACTCATAAACCTGTAGATGGATTGTCATGACATTTTTACTACATGTGTGTACTGGGCCAAGGAACACACCTTTAAATTCTGGTGATGTTCTGGATCACGATGTGGATACAGGAATTTTTTTCTTTCAACACTCTGAGATCGGCAAAGCGGTGATGCTTTCACAGGGCTTCTGTAAAAAACAGTGAGCTGGATTGGACAGCACGTACTTCAAACTTTATAAAAGTAATGTTAAAACCACATTTAATAATGAATAATTTTTGCCATAATATGCACATTTACAGAACGTTTTGTGACCAGGAAGTGCYTGACTGCACCATGAAACCTATTTTCCCCARTTCCTCAAACACACCACATTTCTGAAACAACCATTCAAAACAGTTTTGAACAGTTTCCAGAACAGAAATCCCGTGCATACTGCCTGCTTAAATGTGACTCGTCACATCGAAACGAGGATTAAGTCCAAAAATTGTATATGGAGAAACAGGCAAATATAGTGTTTTGACTAAAATTTTAACAAAAATTGCATTTTGTCAAATAAAAGCCTTGTAAATGTTTCATTTGAATGAACTGTCTGAAATATAATCATAAAACAACATTTTGAAGCACTTTTTTGAGCAGTAGCAACAAAAAAACTGATTTTGAGGAAAAACACCTTAAAAT